TAATTTCTTAAGAGTTAGATAAGGAACTATTCATTCTTTCAAACAGAATTTAGCTTTGAGAATTAAACTGAAATCAAAATAGAATTAAAAGAAAAACACCTGCAACATAAAATGCTTTCAAGTGCTATGTCAGGGTTCAGGGTGACACTTGCCTCTCCATCACATGCCCCGGAAAGGACTGTAGCCAGGCTCTTGGGATGCTTTGCCAGGCAGTTGACTCCATCTCGATGCCCATCCAGGGAAGCAAGAAACGGCTTTGCAAATACACGCTCCAACTTGGTAGCATTCAAAGCTCTTACATATTCTCGGGGGACTTCAAAAGGATGTAGGGTGGGGTCATAGTTTCTTGGAACTGAAATAAGAACAATTCCACTTAACAAAATAATTCACATTTACTCTTTCCTGCAGAAATGCTTAGCTAATCACTTACAGAAATCTGTTAATGAGAAACAGTTTTATGGCAGAAGAAAATCATAAGATGCATACACCCTGTAAAACAATCTGACCATACACCTCTACAAACAGCTTTCCTTTTGTGGGTCCTACTACACTCTTCAACTGACCTGAACCTCTGATAGGCAGGACATCTGACACATTACTCATGTGTATATCTCATGCCTAGCACCGTGCCTGGGACAGAGAAAGGGCATGGCAACTGCAGGCTTGACTGAACTCCAAGCTACTCGTGGAGCGAGGAACAACGGTTACTCTCTGGTGCTAAACACTGTACTGATAGGCTCTCAATGTGCTTATGTTTACATTAATAACTACTATATAATGGGCACTATCCATGTTCGTTTCCGTCCTTAAAACACACTGAGAATTTTCCAGGTTCCAGGCACTCTTCCAAACACCTCACATTAACTCCTTTCATCTCTATAGTACCTTCTGTTGTTAGTTTCTGTTACTACTCAACTTTACAGATGGGGAAACAGGTACAAAGAGATCAAGTAACGTGGCTATGAAGGATGGAACTGGGACTCAAACCAATGCAGTGAAGCTCCATAAGCCTGTTCTCCCAAACGTGTCTCAGTTAATGCGCAGGAAAAAATCCTAAACCTACATATTAAAAAAAGTCAACGTATAAAAAGCAAATGCATCTTCTTACACACAACTTTACCCTGCTACCTCTACAGTCTGACTCCTTGTGAATGGTACATTAAACTCAACACATGATAAAGCCCGCACTTGGGTCATGTTTATGAATTGTACCTTTTATATTCCACAATACTAATAAGTTTCTAAAATAAGAAATACAGACTCAAATTCTCACTGTTTTTTCCAAACTGAAATAGCCCAAAACACCCAGCTTAGAGACCTCTGTCTTAGGAATGAAGCTCCTTTCTGGTCTTTCACCACCTGGCTCCAAACTAGCTCTTCAGCGTCAAGTCCTTTCTGACACTCAGCTCTAGCCAACCAGTTTTATTCACTTCTGTGCAAACTGTCTTGCACTTTCCTACTCGAGTCCCTTCCCATCTCTCCCACCATCTCTTCCACCAAGTTACTCCAGTACTCAGCCTAACCTATCTAAATCCTTTGCACCCCTTAAGAATATTCAGTTCAAATCTTTAGTCGTCCACAGTATTTCAAATTGTAACGAGACCATGCCTACTTTTACTTCTAAATTCATACATCCAGTCAAAAACATTCATTTAACTAATACTGACGGAGCTCCTGCCATACACCACAAGCACTGAGGGCAGCACAGTTAAGAAATTCACTGCACATATTTGTGTGAAGTGTTCTCACATGTTAACTAGGTACATCAAAACTACCAAGGGAGTTTTAAAAACGTAAGATGCCCTGATGCTTATCCCAGTATTTGAACACTGCATAAAATTTACAAGAAATAATAGTTAAGGAATTTTTTAAAAGGTCATCTTTATGTTTTACAGAGCTCCAAATATTTTATTTACATTTTTCTATCTATTGAAACTTCCATCAGAAAGCTGAGATTCTAACACTGAGATTCTATGACCATCCAGTCACCTACCCATCTATCCATACGTCCTTCCGTCCATCCATCCATAAATCAACTATGTGCCAAGTATTGAATAAGCACAGTACATACACAAACAAAAATGATCCCCCCTTTTTTGCATGTGTCTTAGGACTGCATTTTTTTTCTTTTGTGTGTGTGTGTGGGGGGGTGCCAGAAATGGAACTCAGGACCTCGCCTTGCCAGGCAGGCACTGTGCCACTGAGCCACTTCCCCGGTGATTCTTCCCCTTTTTGCAAGCTGTCTTATGGGAAAGACTGTTAGCCAAAATAATAATCAAGAGACAATTTGATTAAACACTCTGATGGCACTATTAAAATACGTGATGAGAGCACAGAAGAGAGACGCTGAGGTAGAGGCGGCACAGCGCCAAGGATAAGTATGGGAAGGCTACTGTCTCCACGCTTATCTAAGGAAAACGTTTCTCAGGAAAAGCAGCTAACTGGGTAAGGGTGTGTGGCATGGGAACCCTGAAAGAAAATGACTGAAATGCACTCACACTGGCAAGGGCGAACATAAGCTGCCCCTGGGAACAGTAAAGACTGGTGAAACGAGGGATCAGAGACCAGAGGCTCAAAGATTAGGAAATGCTGTCAAGGCCAAGTGACAAAGAGAATTTTCATTTCAGAAATATTACTGTCTTGCTACTCACCCTAGAAATATCTCGGGGGGCAACACCATACATTTACGCCTCAACAATGCTCGCTTTTCGCTACTCCTCAAGAGTGAAACACGGTTCCAGTCTCATCTTCTACTGCCTACCCCTCACGTAAACTCCGAATACATTCTTGCCTCGAGGCCACTACACCTCCTGTTTTCTTCTTTTAGAATGGTCGTTCGCCTAAGATTGGCCCCGTCATCTAGGTCCCGCTAACTATAATTCCTAAACGGTAGGCTTCTTCATGGAGAAACAGAGGTAAGGAGAAATAAAATTCATTTCTTCCCTCACACTTCTAATGAGTTGCGGATAAGAAAAAAGTGATGGCTTTAAATTTCATCTTTTGCTTTGTCCCACACTGAGGATTTGAAGCAGTGAAGTGACCAAGCACCAGTACAGAAAGTTTAAAGAATCCGATTTAATCCTTAACCCTTCACTCCCGAATCTGCCTCATTCAAGCTCCACTACCAACAACAGGACCCTGAAGACCCTCAGAGGACAGCAGACAGCAGGGGAGGCGGGCGCATCCTCGGTGATCGGCTGCCGGTTCCGCCAGAGACCCTCGGCACCAGCGCGCCCCGGGAAAAGAACCGATAGGCCGGGAGCTCGCGGAAGCTGAGACCAGACCCCGGGGCCCGCGGAAGGCGCCCCTTCCTGCCGACATGTCTCACCTCTCTGTAAATCCAACTTGGTTTCACGGACGTAATTGTCCGGGTTCCGGCTCAGCATCTTCACCTTCATCTTGGCAACTCTTCCCCACAACACAAGCTCCACTTTCACGTCCGGAGCCGCGGCCTCCAAGCTCACACTCCACTTCCGCCTCTCACAGACGACTTCCTGTCACGTGGCTTCACCGCGCAGAGACGCCGGATCGACTGGGCCCCGCGGCGCTCCGTAGCTGGGCCAGCCGGGGATAGCAGGGAGGGGGGGGTCGGTCCTT